GATATTATACTGTTGATTCAATTACACTACATTCTTGATTTGAACAAGCTGCTTCCATGAAATAATCATGTATCTGGTTGATTCAACAAAAAATTGCTTAGTCCAACAAAAATAATTCAAGCATGAATAATTTGTTGATGCAACAAATCCTTTTTTTCCGTGGGTGAAGAGTACTATTACAAACAAAGCAAGCAGATTTTGAAGAACAACTTTTTGATGTGTGTTTGAATCCTAAACAGTTAATGCACCATTTATTTTGCTTGACAATATCATATCTCTCCTTCGGAGTTTTGGAAAGAAAGTTAGGACATTTATATATCGTGTGGTTTAAGTTACAAAGAGAACATTTGAGTTTACTGTCTTCGGTATTCGTTAACATAGTTGATGAGTACTTAGGAGAGCTTGGATATTTCTGCTTCGAATAACTTTTTTTATTACTGAAATCATTATTTACTTTTGTTGGTACCTTGACAAGTGACAGAGAATTCAAGGCAAGACAATGAAAGTCCAGAAATGCATACAATTGAGGATAAGTAGGTACATCTGAAGAGGCATGTTTCATTTCGAAACGCTTAAGAGACTCGTCATCAATCTTTTTCGTGAGCAAAGTAAACAAAACGAAGTCCCATTCCGAGACTGGGAATCCCAGGTTATCTAAAGCTTTCAAATTATTATTGAATGTATCTAGCAAGTGTCTCAGATTAGAGGGTGATTCAAGATTGATTTTTGGAGCACTAGTAATTTCATTCCAATAAAATGTTGCTAGCGCTCGCTTGTTTTGATAACGGTCAGTCAGACTATTATAAGCGATATCATAATTATCACCTTCAAGAGGAAGATTTTTTATGAGCGAGAGTGCCTCTCCAGATAGAACAGACAATAAATACTGAAATTTTTCAATTTTGGAAATTGAGTCATTATTATGAATTAAAGAGTCGTATAACCCGATAAAAGTCGTCCATAATTTCAGGGTGCCGTCAAATGATGGTACATTTAGTTTTGGAAGTTTAATATCAGAGTGTGTTAGGTTCTGAGAGGAAGTTTTATCCCAAAATATTGACGATCAACTTCCGAACGAATCTCCTTTTCAGGAGCCAAATCTGCACCATTCATGGAAACGAGAGTTTGAACCACGGCACTGTGCTGTGTATTGAATTCTTCATAAATATCTGACAGTTCACTGAACCTCATTTTGAAGGAAGTATGCTTAGCAATATTAGCAACTGCAGACTCTGCACTCGTTAATATTTCAAAAATTCTGTTCATAGCAATATCCCGAGAAGCGCGATACTGCTTCAGTTGTTTAGCTGCCGCCATTTTACTTGGAATTCCTTATTTATCCTTATCCTTATCCAGTAGTTTTAGAGAACTGCACTATTATGATAAATAACTAACCTTTTAATTTTCGTTCGTAAAGCAAAGGAAATGCATCGAGTCATAAAAAGCGGTCACAAATAATCTCGGAATAAATGGTTCTGTTCTGCATGAATTGAAAGGAATACATGTATTTACTTACATAAAGTGAGTAATGTAAAATGAGAGTAAAGTTTACACACCGAGTAAAAAGGTGTAAAAGTGGCGAGCGTTCAGAGCTGACAAAAACTTCGAATAAAAAGATGTTTTCGACCGGCAATTTGTCGAATGCTAGAGGAATAAATTCAAGGTCACATGAATATAATTTGAAAAATGTACCCAAGAGAAATTTTAATTCAAATATTCACTAACATCTGGCTATCGAGGGACCAAAAATAATGTTACATTTCGGATGAAGTTTGACAGGTTTGCAACCACCTATCCGCGAGATTTTCGTGGACTGTATCACTGAGGGATCTGATGAGTCAGTGGATATTTGATAAATCTCTGTAGTACACAGGGTGAGAGATATTTGCGTATTTTCGCGAAACGGCACGTGAGCACCTGTGTTTGCAGGAGTACAGAGCGATACTGGCGATTTATTGGCTCTTCTCGATAAGCCCGCCCGGGAAATTTTGACAGGCATGAGTTTAAGAACAGCACTATTAATTATATTAAACGAAATTACCCATATGTATATCTTATATTATAGTGAATATTTGAATCAATTAAATAAAAAAAATGCAGGTCTCCAATATTTGAAGAAAAAATATTAGGAAAAAAAAAAGATTTCTTCTTAGAAAAATGAAAAAAGCGGGGCATTAACAGCTATCGAAGTTTTTATTCGAACATAAACATCTTTTTTCAGCACCCGTCCAATAATAACCCACTTCCCGGACGTGTGTTGACACCAGGGTGTTGAAATCAGTGAGGGTTTGGGTATACAGTGCATTAACAAATACTAACATATTTGGTTATACAATTACAAGTTAGAAGAGGAGCTGTCTAACTGTTTGTGAAGTTTGACGAAACGTGTATACAATAGACAAAGAGTATTGTTTATGAAGTTATATTTGTTGAATACCCAGACCTCTCAAAGATGATTTCGCACTGTTCTGGAAGATACGGGAGAACCCAAATACGAATTTGTCGCATCATAATACTCATTATAATACTCATACTATTATACTAGTTATGTCCCGAACTACACCGAGAGATTACTATTATAGGGCAACATTGTGATGATGTGGAAGCATGACACATCGCATGATATTTTTTATAGTATCTGACTCCCATAGAAGGTGCTGGTTACACGATTAGTACCGAATGATTTTTAACAATTTTTTTTTCTTGGTTAGATTATTTCAGTCCATAGTTCATGCGAACTCGAATATCATTCAATTTTACACCAAAAAGGTATATTTCCTTGATAAAACCCAATACTTTGTATTTTCCCGAAATATTTTAATCAGAAAATAATGGAGGAATAGCTGATGCTGGTATTATATCGATTATACAAAGGATCACAAGTAGGAAATTGAGATGAATTGGACTAAAAACATGGACAATTGTATCAAGATTCTCTTTTTTTTTCTTGAGGATGCAATATTTTTCTGAATGGTTGAGGATCAGCTGATAGGTCATTTGAGTCATGTTCAATTTCGTCTTACAAGTTTTGACATGTATTTACCTCTGTAAACTTCTCCTTAGGATACAACCAAACTGTATAATCCATATAGTCTCTGTTTCAATGATATTCTTGTGAATAATTGTTTGATCAATAAGTTCAGCATTAGAAATTTTTTTTTGTCTTCGATTTTCAATAAATAAGTGATAATCTTTGGTAGAAAGTCCATGGTTTCTTGAAGTGGATTGAAGTATTGAATACTGAATGATACACGTCATCTCCACAACATTCAATGTGATTTACAACTCAATTGGAATTCAATCTCGTTCTATAGTAGATGAAACTTATGCAAATTTCGATCTCATCTGATTACGAAACGACATTTTGTATTTCATCTAACGGCACTTTTGACAATCACTATCCTGAGCTGAGTGATTGATATACAAAGTGGAGGAAACTAGGTACCCCATATATTATTGATCATAATATACACATATGAAAAATAGAATGCTTCTATCCTTCTGAGAGCGCTGCTTTATGAAATCAATGTCTGTTGTCTTATATGATACCACTGTTCATACCAAACTCTTGCAGGCAAACCCCATCTTTATACTGATGCATTACCAACGCCAAAGTTCAGTTGGATGAAACATTCAGTAAATCGATGAAAGTTATTGTCTGAGGCATCAGCCTCCTTTTTCTTTCAGGTTCCAGGAAATCGACATCTCGTACTTCGAGAGCTTCATCGCTATGGCGGGAAGCAGGAGAACCACCAGCAGGCCATGCTTCCTTTTAGTGCATGAATAATTCATGAAGTACTGGTATAAAACCCATGTTTATATCAAACTCTTGCTGGCGACGCCATTATACTTTGAAGAGAGGTATTATGAACGCCAAAAGTGATACACTCTTCTCGTAAGGGTATCTGACGTGATTACTTACTGATTTTCCGACTTTTCAATTGAATGAAACAATAGAACACGATTGTGAACACATATTTATAATTCATTCACACACATATGAAATGAAGAGAGAAATCGCTGCTCTATGAAAGAAATGACTGTTGCCCCCCTTTACAGCATGAAGAATATGGTATAGAACTCCTGTTCGCACCTGACTGTTGTAGGTCCTTGTAGGTCAAAGTTGGTACCCTTCCCTCGTTATGGTACCTGACGTAATTCTTGACTGAATTTCCGACTGTTTAGTTGGATGAATCATTTAGTAAATCGTTGACAGTGATTGTCCGAAGCATCACCTCCACTTTCATTCCAGCATCCAGGAAATCGACAGCACTTACTTCGAGAGCTTCATCGCATGAATAATATGGAAAATAACTGGTATATAAGTCTTGTTTATATCAAATTCTTGCAGGTGACTCCCTCCTTTGTAGAGAGGTATTATAAACACCAAAAGTGTAATGATATCTGATGTGATTATACTTACTAATTTTCCGACTGTCTGATTGAATTAAATATTAGAACACGATTGCGAACACATATTTATCATTCATTTTCACATATATGAAAGGAAGAGAGAGATCTTTGCTCTATAGAAGCAGAGACTATTGTCTTTCTCCACTACATGAATAATGTGATATAGAACCCCTGTTTGTTCTTATAACTGTGGTAGGTCCTTTATAGAGAGGCGTTATGAACGCCAAAGTTGATACACTATCCTCGTGAAGGTACTTGACGTAATTCTTACTCATGATAAAATTTCGACTGTTCAATTGAATTAAACATTAAGACACGATTGCCAACACATATTTATCATTCATTGAAATAAAAACATATAGAAGATGGAGAAAGATCGTTGTTCTATAGAAGCAATAGTCTTTCGCCTTCCCTTACTGCATGAATAATGTGGTATTGAACTCCCGTTCGTACCTAACCGTTTGCAGGTCCTTCATAGAGAGGCAGAACGAATGCAAAAGCTGATACACTTTCCTCGTAAGGATACCTGACGTGTTTCCTGACTAATAATAATGTTTCGAATTGAATTAAACCAATCCTTTTTCCAGGATCCAGGAAATCGACGGCTCGTACTTCGAGAGCTTCACCGCTCTGGCGTGGAAACAGGAAAACCAGCGGCAGGAAATCCTGGAGCAGACAGAGGCGGCGGCAGCCGACCCGCCTCCTTCTACCACCGCTTTGGCGGGAGTCGCGCCCATCGACTATTCCGAGCCGCAGGCCGAGAAGGACAAGCTGTACGTGGAGATGCTGTACACGATCGCGAACACGGTGAGATTTTTTTCATCTTTTGGAGCGCACGAGAGGAATTCGTATGATGTTCGAAAAAAACATCGTGCCTATCTAGGGATACTATGGACTATAGGGAGAGGAAGTAGGTGTTGAATTAATTTAGAATTATTGGGGGTTAGAAGTTTCCGATGTGCGTGGTTCATGGAACCGTTTTTGGCGTCTATGTACAAGGTGTCTCCTTATATTTTGACCCTTTTACCTACAGCTTCAACTTTACTGGATGAAAAAAAAAACTTGAAGGGTTTCATCTGTTTTATCTTTTGGCACTCCTTAAACAGATGCGAATCACAGGAGAGAAAAAAATCCAGAATTTTTTTTTAAAGAAACTTCCAGTATTTTTCCAACTTTTGTGAAATACCTTTTCCTTCTGTTCACATATATATAATTTGCTAATGTTTCCTTAAGCCGTTTTCGATTAAATTCTTGCTGCACTACTGATATTCTTGTAATATTTTCATGATAAAATCTTACTATCTCGTATTTTTCCTGTACGATTTGAGTCATTTTTATTCAAGACCTGACAAAGATGTCCAAAATGCCTAAATGAGTGAGAAATGGATTGGACACATGAAAAAACTACACAAATATACATGCTTGTGAAAAGGAGGGAATTATACATCACTAGAGTTGAAAATATACAGGGTGTTTACTTTGAAATTGAAAACTATGATTCAATGCTGAATAAGTGAAAAATGGATCGAGGAAACATTAGAAAACTCCACAAATATACATGTTTGTGAACAGGAGAGAGTTATCCATCACTAGAGTTGAAAATATACAGGGTGTTCAATTTGGAAAAACTGATTTGGATTCAGGTTTTTTATTTTACGATCCTCATTTCTTTTATTACGAATTGCCAAAAGATAATGCTGGTGAAACCCTACAACTTCTATATTTGAATTTTTTTTCCACCTATCGTATAGTTGATAGCTGATAATATTATGTCTGGAATTCACCATCACATCAGATGTGTCAGATGTTTCACATGTAAGTACTCTCATTACAATCTAAAAAAAAATTGACTGGAGAACAAATTCATGAAAACTATTTTTATATCATATAATACATCATACATATTATTCTATTCGATTTGAGAGATGATGTTAATTCTCAATTTCATGCTCTATCTGTTTTTGGATATTCAACAGATATTCAATTCATTCAATGTTCGACGTGGCAAATAGCCAGGAAAGTATAGTTGTTTTCTGTTGAATATTCAGAATTATATTATATGCATATATATATGAAGGGGGCTGCAAATTCTCTACTTCAGAAGACTTTGATTTCAAATTCTTATCGTGTGAGTTCAATAAAGGTAATTCAATATTCTTCGTGGCATATAGCCAGGGAAGTAGTTGTTTTCTGTTGAATAGTCCAAGAAAGAATTAATATCTTCATCACATGGAGAATGCAAATTCTCAACGTGTTTCTTCATATATATATATATATATATATATATATATATATCCATTTTTTGTGTTCATGAATATATCTGAAAATATTCCTTTTCAATACGTTGAGGAACCATTGCATTTTATAAGAGTGCTCTGCTCTCAAGAGTGAGTCACACTGTAGATGCCATACAATGTTTGACGAACCACGAATATCCATATTCAGAAACCAATTCTTATTTATAGAATTTCTAGAATCGATCTCCTGTAGGCAAAACACGAATTGAATGTGCCAGTAATACCATTTCACGAGAAAATTCTTTCATTCAAAAAAATCATCCATCTTTTTATTGAATCTTGGATAACATTATATTCCATCGTCGAACAGATATTAAATACCATCACAAAGGAACGCCCAATAAACGAATGCTCTTCAATAATTTTTATTTATATTTTGTTAGAGGAACTCATCCAGAAAGCCTTTTGAAGTTCCCTACTTCTCTGCCTCTGCTATCGTTTTGTGTAACATTATCTTCTTATTTGCGAAGGACTTTAAATCTAATTGAATTGAGCCTTTCCTTGAGGAGATTACATGAGTATGAAAAACAAAATATGAATGTTAGAGATGGAAAAGAATCGTTGTCAACAGTTTGATTGAACGACTAAAAATACACATACAAAAAGAGGACTACGTCATTTGATAAAATATACAGGGTGTCCGCTAAAAGGAGGTCAATACATCACCCATATATTCCTTGAACAAAAACAATATGAGTTTCTAAATACCATTTTTTATTTTTGCCTTCATATTCGATATACAGGGTGTCAAAGTTTTTTTCTAATTACTCGCGTATTTAATAAGATATTAATCTCAAAATTGGTACATTACTTCAGCACAACGATTACATCCTGTGAGGAAAACAAAACAGGTCATAACTGTCAAATATTCAAAATACTGGGGGTCAAGTACACCCCCATATTTTTCTTGTACGTACGCTGATGACTTCCTATCTATTTTTCTTCAAGTTTTGAATCATTTTTGAGTATTTGAGTTTGATGCGAAGAGGGCGAATCTTTTTACGTATGAAAAGGTAAATATGGAAATACTGGGTGATCAGAACGAATGTATTATAATTTTTATAGCAAATTTTTAAAAAAATTCCAAAATCGGTTTGAGCGGTTTTGGGGGATGCGGAACTCTTCAAAAATATTTTCGAGCCCAATCCGTATGGTATGTCGGGCACGAACGAACGGGAAATAAAATCGGAAAAAATCAAAAAAAATATTTTCGTAAATTTCAGGTGAAATTGATATCCATGATTTTAATAGCTACTTGATGAAAGAAATAGCAGATCAGGATTGTCGGGGGATGTATGGAAGATTTTGTGTATAAGCCACATATTTTTCAAAGGCTAAGATTTTCTTTAATTCAAAGGACCGTAAGCCCAATATGAAATATATCTAGTGCAGAAAGTTGCTGCGATGTTTTGTGTTTTTGGAGCCTGTCGTCGAGAAGAACTGTGCGATTTGACATTGAATGATATCGAGGATTCCGGAACTTCACTAGTTGTGCCGTATATTATACCAGACACAAAAACTAATGTGCAACGCACCTTTGTTGAAAGTGGTACATTGTATATGAACTACTACAAAAAGTACATAGCCCTTCGTCCAGTGGATGTTAATCATTCTAGAGTTTTTATAAAATGCATTAAAATTAAATGTGCCAGGACTCCAGTTGAAATCAACACATTTGGTAAGAGGCCTGCCAAAATTGCCGAATTTCTCAATTTGCCTGATTCCCATCTATATACTGGACATTGTTTCCGACGTTCCTCAGCTAGTTTGTTGGCGGACTCTAGTGCTAGTCTTACTACAATTGAAAGACATGGTGGATGGAAGTCCAGTACAGTAGCAGAGGGTTATATAGAAGACTCGCTACAAAGGAAACAGAACATTGCAGATCAAATTTTGTCGAAAACTTCGGCAGATAATATTGCTCTCTGCCCTGGTACAAGCTTCACGAAAATAAATTCTGTCACATCTACCAATGAGACTGGCCATGGAGTTTCGTATTATAATTGTAGTTTCGCTAATTGAATAAACACTTCATTTTGAATTAGGTTTACATATTTTCTCATAGAAATGAACCACTTTTAGCACTAGTGCTAAAAGTGATTCACTTTCAACACAAGTGTCATAAACTGACATTTTAGACACTGACAGCATGCGTCACAACTTATACTTTTACTGACGTTTGTAGAAAAATAATAGTTCCTTCTGAAAACGGACCCTCCCTCTTATGACGTAGAAACCTCATCTCGCCATAGTTGGAAGAAAATACCAAACGCCCGACGGAGACTGAGGCAACTGATATATTAATTATTTCAACTGGTGATCTCGCGCTAATTCACTCTGTCAGAAATTATGTATCATTCATCTCTGTCTGGAATAGTCTTGTTTCAGTATTAGGGTTTTGACGTCAAATCATCGCCTCGTTTTAAGAGGTCCGAAAAATCGGGGATTTCAATAATTTTTTATATAACGTAGGGAGCTCACAGCAAGAAACGGTTTGCGGTAGTGAGCTAGTTTGGGTAAGTTCTATCGAATTATGAAATAAAAAGTTTACATAGATATAAGCCCATTGAGTGCTTTCCTAAAGTACTGAATGAATTCATTTCCAAACTATCCATTTCTGAGGGATCTGCTGAGACAGGTCGATTTCCTATATTCAATTTGCCACATTTATAAGGGAAAATTGAATATACAGTGTGATCCACGTTTGAGTTAAGACAACCGCGACAATCAAAAGAACAAGTTTTGGAAAGAACGCTCGAAGTCATCGAAGAAGAATAATAAGCAACACACAGATTATTTGACAAAAAGACAATGCAAGATTGTCATCTCGATTCAGTATGAATCAACCTAAGAAATATTATGCCGAAAATATGTATATATGAATTGCATGCAATGAAAATTTGGCAACAGTAAAGCTGCTATGACTTTTTCTGTCACTTGACAGTAGCCATAGTGACTAGAATTCTGTTTTGATTCTGAATAGTTCATTTGACATTATCTTCAAAAACTAACAATTTCTTTCGTCTGTCGGTTGATGAGTGGTGATTTTTTCATTCACTGGAAAATGATCAAATCAAATGAACGAGAGACAATTGGAATTCTTTACATAATAGGATTTGGAAACAAAATGCGCACCCAAAGAGAAGTATAGTTGAATTATTCAATGCAACTCATCCTGATCGGCGACCTATTAACCAAAGCATGATGAGTAAAATTGGGTTGTGATCTTCGTAAATCTGGTAGACCCTCACCATCAGAAGACGACCAACTTGATGTTGTGTTAGCAGTGCATGAAAATCATCACATTACATTCAACCAATTAGCTTCCGATTTCAATAAAGCAGCGTCTACAATTCACAAATTACTGAACAAAACAAAGCACCATCCCTATAAGGTACGCCTCATTCATAAGCTGTATGAACGGCGAGTTCAATTCTGCGAACAAATCCACAGAAAGTGAATGTATGGTGTGGCATAGTCGACGGAAGAATTTTGGGTCCCTATTTTTTT